GAATGGGAGTGTAAGTCCTGCCATTCAAATGGTGAGTGCTTTCTTTTTTCACCTTTAGCCTCCACTGCTTACCATATAAACATATCACAAGGTATGATGAAGGTATAAAGAGCAAAGCTATTTTACTGTTGGATCCAAAATTATTTAAGTTTATGCAGGATTTCTCACATGAAATTTGGATTGTAAGTGTATGTGGTTTGATTTTTGTGCTTCTGTTTACATTGAACATGAGTGGAGACTTTATTTAATAAGGGTGGCCACTTTCAGTTGATTTTATCAAAATGTATTAATAGCTTGAATAAACCTAATCAAAGCTAACTATATTAGCACAATGTCTGTCAGTGTGAATATTATCTTTGCTAAGGTTTTGTTATTATGTAATGAAAGGTTTTCCTTAGTGGTCTGCAAAACATAACTGCCAATTTAAGTTAAAACAACATGTGATGTGAGTCAGTACACTTGTTTGCCAGCTAACAACGCTGACCGTTTTTATTTTTTCAGTCTTCTTTAGTGTGAAAGGAGCAGTGTTTTGTCATGCGTCAACAAAGAATTGCACTCTGTCTGCTTACAAGGAAACAAATGTGTGGCAACATAAGATTTTTTTTCAGCTTCCATAGACGTCAAGGGACTGTGGAAACACTTTGAACAAGCCAGCCAGTGATTCGAGACCACTGCTTTGAGAGAAGAGTACACATTTTCTGTCTGTGTGGTTGGCAGTCTGTTTACTGGAAGGGCTGCACACTCAGAGCACATGTTGCTGCATGTGCAGACAGTGAGCCCCAGGAAGCCTGTGGAGTTGAAGTGTAAATGCAGGGGCAAAGTGTTTTTGCAGAAAGTGTTTTTGTTGAGCTGGTGGGGGGTGTTTGTGTGCATGTGCATGCATGTGTGTCTGTGATTTTGTTTGGAGAACTTTGCAAATAACCAGCAAGACCACACTAGAATCCTGTGTGTATGTGTAGTTCTGTGTGAGTTTGCTGAGTCCGTATTTAAGCTCCCTTTCTGGGAAACAGCATTCCCTGTTCTGCTGAAGCGAGCTGTAAGAGGCTGGAGGGCTTTGAGAATGAAGAGGCATGTGCTGGTTTCAGTATGTCCCAGGTTGGTCTATTGTACACAGAAAGTGGTAACAATGGGAGGGTTAAGTATCAGATATACACACCAAACCCTGGGACTCAGTTGCAAGTAATTAAAACTGGCAGTTGGCAGTGATAAGAGTCAGGCGACTGTAATGGCCATTCTAAGGTCATACCATAATATTTGGATGATGAATCAGCCTCCTATTAAATGTGTTCTCATGCTGTTGACCCAAGGTTTTCTCCCCTCCCCATGTCCTGTTGGCCCTGACGGAGGCACAGAGAGGAGCTAGAAAGGCTTTGTATGATCCTGGTGCCTGTTTGTAATGACATTGTTGTTTATTTGGTATGCTACAGCTTTTGCTTTGACGTTATTATGCTCATCATTTTATGCTTTTTCCCCCTCGACTAGTTTGTTCCTCCTCAAGGTGTATTTAGAGCCACGAGTTATCATTTTTGCTTTAATAAAATGGACAGTCTTACAAGAGGACATCTGCAGGCAGTAGATGTTGGTTTGGACATACTGTAATTTTAGTGGGCCCTCTGAGTTTTTATCTTTCCACATCCTTAAGGTGAACAAAAATGTCATAACATGGCTACAACTAATGAAAATATGGCGATAATTTTTGATCGATCAATTAATAGTTTAAAATATGATTGAGTTAATGCTGAAAAATGTTCATCACTGGTTACATTAACATGGGACTGATGTACCAGTGCCTAGAAAAATTATATTTCTGAGAAAAGCATGATTCAAAACCACCTTTTATGTCTAAGACAAGTTGGTCATTGAACTGAAACCTTTCAGTCATGACTCTCATTTTACCAACAAAATCTGTTGAGTTCCTGTTAATATATCATCTGATTATTCCTTTTATCTGTCTCCCCCTCAACAGAAACAGCGTATGACCTTCTGCCCAGAGAGTTTCAGCTGCCTTCGTCTACTCAACTGAACCCAAAGGTCATGAGTCAAAAAAGCGGTGGAGAGGCAGAGCCTCCATCTTCAGCTTCTCTAGCATCAGGTAGGATCCTATTACTCTTATTTCTCCTCTATGAGCAGGGCTGATCATGCCCCACCCCAAAAACACAGTTCATGTAAGATTCTGTACCTGTAGGCAAACAAACACCTGGAAATGGTGAGAAAGCCAGTCAGACAACTAATCTGCTGCTATGTGATCCTTATGTGTCGGTCCTGAAAGGAAGGAAGGTAGTTACATTAGAATGAAGTCAGCTGAACATGCTTGTTACTGTATCTGTACCTGCTTGTACTCTGTGAAATATTTGGCTAAGAAGATTGGCTGTGACATGTTGTGATCTCTTACAACAACACAATTTTGAAAAGTAGGTCATGCACAGCAGGTTCAGATAGTATTTATACCCTTCATTCTTTGGATTGTATTCTGCACTCAATGTATGTCAATTAAAATTTATGTTATACCCATAATGATGTGAGATCCTGCAAAGCTTATTATTTCACAGTTTTGCTGGCTTAGCACAAAATACAATTTTTCACTTCCAAGCTGTTGTTCACAGATGAAAACATATGAAGAGAAACACAAAAGTCCAGAAATGAGATGTGCAGCATTTTAAAAGCTCCACCTCCACCCCAACATCCACCTGTAGGCTCTGAGTCTGGCTTCTACCTCTGGGAGAAGTTAATATTATCAACTCTTAATTTTCATAATATTCCATTCTATGTCAGTTAGCTGACTGCAATACTGTTAATGCCAAATATGTGCACAAACTGAAGCCAGTTTTCATAGTCATAGTGACAAAAAAAGTGTTTTTCAGTTTTTTTTTTTTTTATAGGACATTGACAACATGCATGCAAGCATGATGCTTGCAATGTGGACAGACAGAAAAGGGTCACTCACAACCTTTAAAGCAATTTGGTTTGCTCCAAGTAGCTGTTGATGCGAAACATTCTAAAAGAACAAAAAAGAGATGAATGAAAGACAAACATTTGAGACATATTTCAAAAAAACACCTTTAGTTTTTTAGAAATCTCACTATATGCTTTTGTCAGGAAACTTTCAAGAGATGATAATGTTGTCATATTTCTTCGCTTTGACCCTTTGTGTACATTCACGTGATAGAAAGTGGTGTATAAATGTAAAACCTTCCTCTTAGAAGTGACTGCTTAACCACCCTCTGAAATGGTAAATAATTGAAGAACAAAATATGAACAATAAAGGGCAATAATACAACCAAGGCAGAAACAAACAGAGAAGAACAGACAACTGACTCTGGGCTCAGAATCTCCAGGGCATGGGCCACAAAGACACTTTACTGTGTGTCAACTGGGTTGTGTTAACTTTATTGAAAGTCTGCTTGGGGATATACAGCAGTAACACCTGGAACGATGTTAAATGGCTCATATTCCTGAATTCATTTTTCACATTTCCACACAGCAGACCTCAGGCCAGACAGTATTCCAGTATTGGAGAAACTGTACTGCATTTCTTTGTGTTTCGTTTCATGCTAAAAATGAGACTGCTTCAGCAGGTTTTATGCGCCTCATATTTCTTACCAACTGTATGTTTCACAATCAAATGATTCACCAAACATCCCAGTGTTAACAGCAGCCTGACCTTTTTCTTTAAGTCTGCACCTTCACCTTCTTTGTTCCCCACTCTTCACCTAGTTCACTGTAACTATTTGAATGCTTTTGAAATTACACTATATGTCAGCATGCTGGAGCCTTTGACATACAAAATACAGTGTGTTATTTATTTATATACATTTTTATCTGGATAATTTTTACTGTTCAGCTCTTATTGCTCATTCGCTGTCTCATTTTTATATTCCAGGAAGTTCCCTCTGAAGCAGGGAGTGTCTGCATATAAAATGGTCTGCAGTTCTCTGCTTCATAGGTCAGAAGCTTGTTTATTTTGTCTCTGTGGCTACGTTCAGTCCCAACAAAACAAACTTTTCTAGCCCCCTACACTCCAAAGAAATCTCCAATAATTGGCATGCATCATACTGTGCATATTGATGTTTTGAAATTCCCTCTCCATCTCATCATGTTGACATATTTCTCATATAGTTTAACATGAACAAAATTTTAGCAGTTCATTCTGATATTTGACTTTTTTAGTTGTCTTTTTTTTTTTTTTACAAGAAATTTGATTCTTAATTCTTTTTTAAATAAGGGGGACTGTACTCTTCTTTGGCCCCATATTTGTCACATGTATACTGTGCTTCACATAATGCACAATGGTTTACAGATGCACATGCAAGATCCAGTGAAAAGGGGGAAATTATAATTGGATGTGTAAAAAAAGAAAAAACTAAACTAAAGCAAAAAATAAACAATCATGAACAGATTTTGCTGCTTAAATGGGACTGCTAGCCAACACTGGTAGAGATGCCTTTATTCACTGTCAAATTATTTGTACTGTAGACACCATGTCCAGTTCTATGACCATGGAAGGCCCCCGCAGTGCTTTGTCCACCTCTTCCATCTCTACCGGCACTTCACCCACTGACCAGAATCCAGTTCACAGCAATATTGGTGACCCAGTGGACACCCGGAGTACCAGAGTAGTACCAGAAGTTGTGGAAGTAGAAAGTTCAAAAGGTAACGGCAACAGCAGCGGTAACTGCAGGAGTAGCAGTGAGCTGGGAGAAGGAGGAGGTGGAACATCCCAGGAGGCCCAACTGCATCACCAGATGACCCCATCTAAGCGCCGCACTGAACTGAACATCTCTCCACCTCCACACGACCTGTTTGATGATAGCCATATGTCCTGCCAGGATGAAGCATCTGCAGACTCAGAGCAGAGTAACAGCATCTGGCTGGATGACTCTCTGTCCAACTTTAGTATCATGAGCTGTGTCACTTACAATGACAACACAGAGGTGCCAAGAAAGTCCCGCAAACGTACCCCTCGTCAGAGGCCTGGTCCTAAGTCTGTGCCTGCAGAGCAAGCCAACATGGATATGTTTGATGCAGACAGTGCCAAAGGTCCACACTTTGTCCTGTCACAGCTAGGATCTGACAACAAGACAGGACCAAAAGGAAGGTTTGTGTGACACTTTGATTGACCTGTTAAATTCTAATGGCCAAAACATGCACGCACATCCATGTCATGTTCCTCTGCCTCTGATGAAGTTGCCAAAGGAGGTGGCAGTATGTGTCTATACAGATGGGCGTATGACTACTGACTGTATATAGCCGTATGACAATGACTGTTCATTGAGCAGTTCAAGGCAAACCCAGCTATAGCTGTCAGGGAAATATTCAGCCACCGCAAGCTTCAAGGTCAGTCTCTGAAGCTCTGAAGTTCTAAGACTCTGCTGGAGAAATGAACACCATGCTTCCAAAAGCTAATCTAGAGCTGAACTGATGAGTTGATAGACAGAAAATTAATCAGCATTTATATTTTCATAAATTATTTTTGTTCAGTCATTATTCATGAAAAACTGCCAAACAATCTCCGGTTCAGCTTCTCATATCTGCTGTTTTCTTTATTTTTTTGGTCACAAAAAGCTATCTGCTGAAAAGCTATAGGTTCTGGACTATTCACTGAACAAACAAGCAAACTGAAGAAACTCTAAGATGGCTCAGTGATTAGCACTGTCACCTCACAGCAAGAAGGTTCTGGGTTCAAACCCTGGCCAACTCAGTTCCTTTCTGTGTAGAGTTTGCATGTTCTCCCTGTGCCTCCATAACCCTCATTGGGATAAGTGGTATGGATGTTGGTGTTTGGTAGTTGTATCATTAAGTTTTTAAGAAGGTGTTTTTCTTTATTTTACCTTTCTATTTTCCTAAAGATCCTTCTGTCTAATCTCATACAGCACTCATTGTGATTGTCAGAATAGGTATTATTAGTAAAAGACACACATCAACTGATGCATACCTTCAGCAAACTGCACTGGCTCTAAATTTCCCACCACACTATGACTGATGAAGTGCAGTTTGATACAAACAATGGTCAGCCGCAGTGAATCGCACAGCCTCTCTCAGGGACCTAGGATAAGCAGAGCAGAATAAATAAATAGATCACTGAATGCTTTAAGAGCTGTAGGTCTAATATGCTTTGCTGCTTGGAGGGCTCCTTAACTGCATTGCTCAGAGCACCATGGCAGCTTCAGAGCATTTTCCCTGCTGCGGCTATGACAGCAACAGATGCAGTATAATAGGTCTCACATTATGTCTTCCCTTCAACTAGTATGGTGCTGAACCTAATGTCAGTGCCAATCATAGCATATCACAGATCATCCCTTCATATAAAAGAAAAAGGATAGGGTCTTATCCGTAATCCTCCACAATGGCAAAAGATGCCAGCTAGGTTGAATGTACTACAGCAGAATTGCTAGAAAATGTTAAAATTCACAGGCATCTGATTATGTCTCTGTTAAACTGGTCTTTGTTGCAGCTCGGATGATGCTCAGACAACTAAGCAGAAAGGAGGAACTCTTTTGATGCAATATCCACAGAAGAGTGAAGGGAAGGAGCTGAAGATCCTTGTCCAGCCTGAAGCTCAGCACCGAGCCCGCTATCTGACTGAAGGCAGCAGAGGCTCCGTGAAGGACCGCACTCAGCAGGGATTCCCCACTGTAAAGGTAAGTAAGTAAGTAAAAGTTTATTTATATAGCACTTTTCTTAACCCGAGTTACAAATGCTTAACAGTATTATTAAACAATGATCATAAAAATAGTACCAATAACAGTACACAATAAATAATCAGGCAATCAATTACAGAAACAAAATCTATAACAATAAACAAAACAAACTAAGGATATACAAAGATACAGTATGGACAATACAATAAATGTAATAAGCTAACAAATGTCCTGGTGAGACCTGGACTTGAACGCCTGCCTAAACAAATGGGTCTTCAAGAGTAAGCAAAAGACACTGTAGTCTGAGGCAGATCTAATCTCAAGCAGAAGGCCGTTCCATAGCTGAGGAGCAGCCATCGCAAAAGTCTCTAGAGGTCTCTAGATGAGAGTACTACCTTTTGAAACAACAATCTCTCCTTGTCATTCACAAATTTATGTATCAGTTGTCAGTGACAGAGGAAACCAGTCACTTTAAACCACTGGGTAACACTCAGAAATCTAGCCTTCACTTTAATTCGTCTGTAAAACTATGGAAGAATGTACAGTAGATAACTGAAACTCCACTACCCACCATCTGGCATATACTGTCAGAACTAGAATTTAGCAGCAAAAGATAAACACAGACTGGTTTTAATCATTTGAATTGTTTGCACGAGAAGATAGAATGAAGACAGATTAATAAACAACCCAAGACTAATTAAGGAAGGTAGTGTAAGAGGGCAGGACACATGAAGCTTAATTGCTTGTTGAGAAGCTGCCAAAATGCACATGAAGGACATCTGCTGGACAAGTAGGGAAATACACTTAGTGAAGAGACAGAATCAAGTCCAGCTGCGATGGGATAGGATCGAAAATGATCTGATCCTTACTAGACAAGTTTTGAAAAGTTGTTCATAAATTTCTTGGCACAGTCTGCTTAAGTTTTGTACCAAATATTCTTACTCGTGTAAAAAATTGATTCCTATCCTACAATATACATCAAAATCAGACCTTCTTAATTAGCTGACATATTTTAATGTATCTTACTCCTTATCTTGTCTCACTTCCACAGCTCGAGGGTGTGAATGAGCCAGTGGTGTTGCAGGTATTTGTGGGAAATGACACTGGGCGTGTGAAGCCTCATGGATTTTACCAAGCTTGCAGGGTAACTGGTCGCAACACCACAGCCTGCAAGGAGGTGGACATTGATGGCACAACTGTCATTGAGGTGCCCCTTGATCCAAGCACCAACATGACACTAGCGTATGTACTTTTCTTGAGACTGACTGAACAAACACATCCCCTTTGTGACTCTAAGTGTGGCTTTTATGTGCCCAGTCATACTTGACCAATTATTCATATCAATTGCTCAATAAAGTGACATGAGCTGTAAGGTGGTTAAATATACAATAAAAATACTTAACTGAAACCCTTAGGGATCATAGTGCTACACAATAAAATGCTGAGTATTAAATGTTGTAAACATCTGCTAGTTTAGCAGATAATGTTACACTGCCTTCTCAGCTAACAATCACTCTCTGTGCAGGGTGGACTGTGTTGGGATTTTGAAGCTCCGTAATGCTGATGTTGAGGCTCGTATTGGTGTGGCTGGGTCAAAGAAGAAGAGCACACGCGCTCGGCTGGTGTTTCGGGTCAACATCTCACGTCCAGATGGATCAGTGTACACACTACAGACTTCCTCATCTCCGATCCTTTGCAGTAAGTGGGTTAATGTTAGACTTCCAATATTTTCAGAGAAATACTTCATAGATTCGGGTGTATTATTTCACTGTATTGAACCAGTTTCACTAGAAGTGAAACTTCTAAGAGGTGAAACAAACAGTTGACCTGTAACCTACTTAGTTAAATATTACCATTATACTGTAAGCCGAGCTACTTTCTGCAACAGGAGAGGTTCTGTTTCTCGAATTAAATATAACCTGAGGTCAGCAAACTTTTGATGTTGGCATTTGAATACATCATATAAAGAGCCCTTTAAATGCAACTGTTATTTAGTAAGGGTGTGGGTATATGTATAAGTATTAGGGTGTGGTTGGTTTCATAAACAGGAAAGATGCTTAAGGCCAGTTTCTGTGTAAGTGGATTCGAGAGTGACAGAGCAGAAAGAGAAGAAAAGGACGAAACAATAGATGTATGTGGACTTTTGTTTGTACAAAGCCTGTACAAGCATGTAATCCAGGGAAATATCCTTCCAAAAATGGTAAAAGAGTAGTAAAAAGGTTTATGAAACCCATTAGGGGGAAAGAGGAGTGGTTTTGAGGGTCAGTATTTACCATTTGAAGGCCTGTGAGAAATATCCAGCTATGTGACTACATGAGCCTGGTTCAGC